TCACTCTGGCCCACCAGGTTCCCTGTGATCTAGCTCCCCATGCCATCCATCTGCTCTATTCCCTTCAGCCACCACAGCCTGCAGCCCCAAGGGCCTCCTTCTACCAGGCACATGCAGTGCTCACTCCTACCGCAGGTCCTTTGGAGGGGGCTGAGAGGTGCACTGTTTCCCTTCAAATTCCTGTGTGAGCCATGTGTGTTGGCACAAACTTGTAATCAATCTCAGCACTTAGGAGGCTGAGGCAGAAGAATCAATTCAAGTTCCAGCCAGCCCGTGGGACACAAAAACCAGTCCCAAGGACACAGTGAGACCATGCTTCAAAAAAAAAAAAAAGATGAGCTAATATCCCTTTGTTTGTGTGCTTACTTCAGCACCTGAGAATGTGACCTTACATAAGAAGGGAATCCTCAAAAGTAATCGAGTAAAACTGAAGTCATTCAGGCGGCCCACATCCAGTATGAGCTGTGCTGCCATAAACGGGGGGATTTGGAGTCAGACCTGGGTAACATCACGAGAAGGCAGACAGCAGGATGCTGCTTGTCCCAAGCAAGGATCGACAAAGACTGCCAGTCAAACACCAAACGCCTTGTGAGAGGGATGGGGCAGATTGTCCCTCACAGCACTCAAAACAAACAGACCTGGAGGGCTGACATCCTAGATCCACACTTCCGGCCTACAACATGTGAGACAGTATGTTCCCTGTTCTTTTATTCACCTTGTTACAGCCACCTGGGCAAAACACAGGCCTTGGCGGTTCCCTGAACATCTCCAGGGAGCAGAGCCTGACTTTTCCCACAGAACATTGTTTCCGCATGGGCACCTTCACTGCCTTTCTCTCCACTTCCTCCATGGTGCCCCTGGTGGGGTGCCCGATAATGTACCCAACCCAGCTCTGCTGCTAGACAGACAGAGGTGCTTCCCATTGTGTGCCGCTAGACATGGGATTAACACTAGCAGCTGATGGTGCAAAGACATGAGAGGATGCCCAGGTCATACGCATGAGGGCCACAGTGTCATCCTTCTGCTGTTGGGGAACAAGGTGTCACCCTAGTCCTCTGATATACAAGGGAGACTGCTTCCCCAGGGCCCTCCCCTTCTATTTCTCCTACTGGGCACGTGAGCAGAACAAAGGTTCACCAGCTTTGTAATGGGTTTCTTAAGCCACACTTTTCTCATCGGTTCCACAAAATTACTCCACTCAAAAATGAACTGTGGGGCCACAGGGCCTCCTAGCGAGTAAGGATGCTTCTGCATAGGCAAGAGGAAGCAGGGCTACGTCCTGCCAGGTGCTGAGAGTACCTGCTTTGTGCCTTGAGGAGGAATATTCTTCTGCTGCTCCTCTTAGGTTCTTCACCTGCACAAGGGCAAGGAGACAGGGAGAAACGGTCAAGTACAGGACAGCAGTGTTGGCAAATGGCACCAGGGAGGCCTTCCCTACTCAGCAAACAAAGGAGACCAGAAGATGGTAGGGTGTGTCGGTCTCATAGGAACCCATCTATGCCCCCCAGTCAGACTTGGCTCTGCAGATCACGACAGTAAGAGCTTGCTCCCCTTGACTCGCGCGCACTGCGCCTACTCTGGCCTGGGCAGCGACCTCGATGGTCCTCCGCCTGCCGGCGTCCCGGGTAAGGCAGCAGAGCTCGGAAGACCAGCTCTGGCGCCCTCGTGAGGCGATTCGACTGCCGCGGAGAGGATCGGCCCGCGTCGCGACTGTTCCGCCCCGCTGTATCCAGCTGGGGCTGGTAGGTCACCTACTGCGGCTCGCAGGGGTTAACTCTTCCGCCTAGTCCCAGACCCCGTCCCAGGACCAGTCCCAGACCCTCCGGTATCCCCTTTCAGGAAGAGCCGACGCAGAAAGTAGGCACCCGAGAGCGACCAACACCACGTACCTACGCAGTGCGCAGGCACGTACGCCGCGCGTTCCTTCTCAGCCAATCAGGCCACAGGCATGGAGGAAGTCACGCACTTGCGTAATCACGCACGTAAATCCACGTCTAGCGGCCCCGGCACCAGAGGCTGAGGCGGAAGTACAAGGAAATGAACCGGAGGCGAAGGAAGAGGCGGGATGCAGGCAGTCTGCTGGCCTGCGTGGGATGGGGCTGCCAGTCAGAGAAGAGGTTGGGCTTTAGCGGCACAAGGCGGGGCCGTGTGAAAGTGCCCACGAGGAGCAGGGGGCGAGGCTAGAAGGGGAGGGGCTAGG